TCAGGCAATTCTCCTGCCTCAGCCTCCTGAGTAGATGGGATTACAGGCACACGCCACCATGCCCAGCTGATTTTTTGTATTTTTTAGTAGAGACGGGGTTTCTCCATGTTGACCAGGATGGTCTCGATCTCTTGACCTCGTGATCCACCCGCCTCGGCCTCCCAAAGTGCTGGGATTACAGGCTTGAGCCACCACGCCCGGCCTGTGTTTCCTTTCTTTCTCTGCAGAAAGTGTGTTTGTTATTCTGCAGCTTAACCTGTGGATTAGCTATTGTTCGCCAGCACATAGAGTGTTGCTCACAGAAAGAGAAATCAGAGGACTGAGTTATAAAGATAAATGAACCACATTTAGCTCTTTATTTTTATTATCAATACTTCACCACCTTTCATTTCTGTGAGGGATTTTTCAGATTTTCAAACCATTCTCATGTATATATCATTTTATCTCAGCAACATTAGTGTCACTGTTCCTAATTCCAAGTGGAGAAGACCAAGGCTAGGCCTGGTTACCTGCTGTCTTTGATACACACGACCAAACCCTGGTGGAGTCTGGTGTGGGTTTCCTAACTCTTACTCAGCCCAGTGTCCTGTGGTGCCTCCTGGCTGCACGGTCCCTCAGTTACCTGGAGCCCTGGGGGTGGGGCAGGGATGTAACACGCCCCCACCCCCAGCCACATGCTGGCTGAGTTTGTGCAGGTACTTCACCACCTTGCCTCGTGTCCTTGTCTGTCAAATGAGCATGACATTCTGTCACCATAATAGATTATTCTAGGATGAATTTAGGAGTTTTGAAATACTGTTTTTCCTTTGTTTCTCTTCATCTGTTCCCTTCATCATTTGACAGCTTATCAGTGCTTCTCATGAAGAATTAGAGAATGACTGACATGGGTCCTTCGGTGGTGCTCCCTGTGAGCACCCCAGTGTCTGGCTCAGCAGATAGGAGGACAGGGCTCCCAGCAAGGACTAGGCAGGGTATGTGCTATGTGTCATACTTTCCAAGCCCATGGAGACCTAAGATTGATTTCACGCTCCTCTGCCCAACTTGAGAAGAGTTGGTGTGTGTGGGGATGCTCTTGGCCTCTGGCATTTCCTGCTATTCTGGATCATAGGCCAGGCTGTGGCTCGCTGTGCAGGTGCTATTCACCCACGGGGGGAATGCTGTCCTCAGAACAATCACATGGCACTTGCAGCCCACACTCCTGCCCACGGCCCTCTGAGACCGAGGTTGAAAGTAAAGAAAGCAAGTGTCAAAATGCTTACACTAAAGCCAGTTAAAGGAGAACGTTGTGGCAGAGAGAGAGCAAGGGTAAAGCAGGTCATCACCTTGCCCTGTGAAGGGGCCACCCTCAGGGAGGTAGAGAAGATATGTTAATCTCCTCCTGTCCAAGAAACAGGCCAGTACAGGTGCGGCTTTCAGCAAGCATGGCTTCCAGTGAGTATGTGTGCCTAGGAATCAGTGGTCCTATATCCACGAAACAAAGACCTGGAACCCAGTGGAACAGGTTCCATGATCCACTGAAATTCTGTCTGTCTCCAGTAGTCTGCTTTTCTGGGTAAGAGAATCACCAGAAAGCAGCTGTCTCAAGAATGAATTGAAATAAGCGGAGTCCTGGGGCCAGTCCATGGTTAAGCCAGTGGCCTGCATCCTTGGCAGTGAAGATTGACTTTCAGGATGGCACCATGAGTCATTGCTGGAACTTGAGTCATAAAAACAGACCCAGACCAGGTGTGGTGGCTCTCACCTGTCATCCTAGCACTTTGGGAGGCTGAGGCAAGAGGATCTCTTGAGATCAGGAGTTCCAGACCAGCCGTGGCAACATAGCGCCATCCCATCTCTACAAAAAATAAAAAATTAGCCAGGCATTGTGCTGCATCCGTATTGTCCCAGCTACTTGGGAGGCTGGCATGAGAGGATCCCTTGAGCCCAGGAAGTTGCTCCAGTGAGCTGTGATTGCACCACTGCACTCCAACCTGGGTGACAGAGTAAGACCCTGTCTCAAAAAAAAAAAAAAAATCGAGTTGTATTTCCTTTATACTAATGACTAAGTTGTGAAGGTGAAAAAGATAGTTTTCTTATTTAACTTTTATTTTACAATAATTATAGTTTCACAGTAGGTTGCAAAGAAATATACAAGGGGGTCTAGTGCACCCCTCCACCCCCAGGCCAGTCTCCCACACCCATAGTAACCACAGCAAAAACCAAAACAAAGAAACTGACATGGTCACAATCCATGGAGCCCATTCAGGTTTCAGCAGCCATGCGTGCACTGTATGTGTACGCACACACGCTTCTGTGCAGTTTTGTCATATGTTCAGCCTTGCATCACCGTCACTGCAGTCAGAATCCTCTGCTATGCCATCACCACCGATTCCCGTGTTCCCCTTTATAGCCATGTGCATCCTTTTTCTATCCCTAGCCCTGGCAAACAATCACATGTTCTCTGTCATTATAATTATGTTATCTTAAAGTTGTTACATGCAATATGTATCTATATTAGTTTCCTAGGATTACCATATAAAGT